TAAAGCTATACGCTTAAAAAGTTTACTGATTATTTGTCGTAATATACAATAAAAAATTACATATTAATTATTCAGATAAGTGAGAATGAGAAATAAATATCATTAAAATATACAAAGAAAATTTATCAATTTGACTCTGAAAAGTAAGTGACATGGTTCTCAAAGTGCAAGGTTTCATTTGACTTACAATTTTCTTCAGAAACACAGAAGAAAAAGGTATTTGTATATAGTTTTGTATATTCACTTCGTTGTGTGTGTAGAGCTTTTAAAAATACGTTGAATCCTTATTCTAATCTAATCTTCTTCTAATGTAATTACTTTTCGTACTTCAAATATTGTAGTAATTATTCTGTAAGAGCTTCGACATTATTTCTAAATGGACATCGAAAAAAACATATTTTATAAGAGCAGGCCGCCATGTTATTTTTCTGAGTCATTAACAAATTGGTACTCTGGAATACGAGCAATTATTTTTTATTGTACGGGCTAGTATGAATTTCAAATCAAATCTCTATATACGACTATTATATTTTGTGCACTAAGATAACATATCGCACTTATTTTCTAGAATCAAATTGTAATCAGTTTTACTTATATGTATGTACATTCAATGTGAACTTGCACCTTGAATAAAATATCACAGTTACTTTTCATGGTAATATATTATTACTAAATTTAGATAATATACATTTTACGTATGTTCACTTTGAACTGGCACCTTGAATAACATATCAGTTACTTTTCGTGATAATTTATTATTAGATCGTTTAAATTTTTGAGTACCTTCTTTGAACATGGCCTGACCTTTTTCATTTTTATGATTTTTTTAGGATATATATATATATATTAATATATATATATATAATTTTATCTTCATATATATATATAACAGGGTGTTTGGTAACAGGTGGGCCAAAATGTAAGGAGTGATTCTACATGATAAAATAAGACAAAAATCAAGAATGACAAAATTGCGTTCGAGACTTTGTTTATTAATTATAAATATTTTACATTTTGCAAAATATACATCAACTGTTACGATGTAAGTTTTTGTATACTTATGCGTCACAGTGTATTTTGACGGCGACTCTACCGATGTACCTTACGCACGCAAAATATCGGAAAAATTGCCGTGCGTCAGGCGCCCTTAATGCGAAGTTTAAAATATTTATAATTAATAAACATAGTCTCGGACGCAATTTTGTCATTCTTGATTTTCGTCTTATTTTATCATGTAGAACCACTCCTTACATTTTGGCCCACCTGTTGCCGAACACCCTGTATATATAATTTTTTGCACAATTATAAATATAGATTTTCAAATGTGCCTACACTGCCCGTAGCATTAGAATGATATCCACGTACAAAAAAGCCCAAGATTTATTTTTGCAATCTATTTTATGAATAAAATAATTATTCATCAAACTAATAAGAATAATAAATAATAATCCTTAAGGTTGCCAGTAATAATTAATAAAAAACCACTTCTCAATGTTTAAAGTCGACCAGACTGGCAATAATTTATTATAAATAATTATTTGAAATACAACAACGTTTCGGCTGTCATTGCAGCCCTTCTCAAGTACATCTATAAAAAGTTCAATCAAAATAATTATAATTTAATACACTTATTCGCAACAATTAATTATATTTAAAAAACAAAATGTGTTACATACCAAAATTAAAAACAGTAAATCAACTTCTATGCAAACTACCGACAATGTTAACGCTTGTTTTGATGAACAATGCAAGACTGACAGAAGTAAGCACATATGTGTATTAAATAGATGTTAACTGTTCACAAGAATCTTAGTCACTAAGCGTTAAGAAGATAGAGACGAAACTAAATGTGTCTTTCGTAATTTAAATCGTCATAATAAAGTCAAATAAATAAAATAAATAAATAGGTGGATATAAAAATAAAAATAAAATTAAAAGTAAAAAAAAAAAAATAAATAAAAACGACTTAAATAACGTCAAGAACATGTTTACATAAAAAAACAAGGAAAAAGTATTAATTTACAGAAAGATACGGAGAATTTCAGTGGGATTTATGATCGTGTTCTTGACGTTATTTAAGTCGTTTTATATTTATTTTTTTTTTTACTTTAATTTTATTTTTTTTTATATCACCTATTTATTTATTTTTATTTATTTGACTTTATTATGACGATTTAAATTACGAAAGACACATTTAGTTTCGTCTCTATCTTCTTAACGCTTAGTGACTAAGATTCTTGTGAACAGTTAACATCTATTTAATATGTGCTTACTTCTGTCAGTCTTGCATTGTTCATCAAAACAAGCGTTAACATTGTCGGTAGTTTGCATAGAAGTTGATTTACTGTTTTTAATTTGGTATGTAACACATTTTTTTTTTTTAAATGTATAATTAATTGTTGCGAATAAGTGTATTAAATTATAATTATTTTGATTGAACTTTTTATAGATGTACTTGAAAAGGGCTGCAATGACAGCCGAAACGTTGTTGTATTTCAAATAATATTTATAATAATTATTGCCAGTCTGGTCGACTTTAAACATTGAGGAGTGGTTTTTTATTAATAAGAATAATTTTTTAAATTGATCAATATATTGGTTCAATTTATCGCGTCATCAAAGGGGAAGGAAAGAAAATCTCCGATTATGTTTATTTCTTATCAATCAGATATTCGATCAAATGATAAATTGTCGATACTATCTTCGATTGAATTTGCTCGATTCCGAAGTCAAAGTTCACAACTTGAATTTTTATCAACATTTATAATGTAAAATTGTAAATATAACTAATTTTCTTATCGTGCGAAGTCAATCAAAGATTAGATTGACAATTACAAAACAAAAGCATATGATTTTTCGAATATTTTTAATTATGGTTGACAAATAAACGTAATCGGAGATTTTCCTTCTTTCCTCTTCGATGACGATAAATTAAACCAATACACAGATCAATTTAAAATATTCTTATTACATATTCTTGTTATAATTTTATTAGTTTCATGAATAAATTATTTTATTCAAAAAAAATTGCAAAATTATAAGTCCTGGGCCCTGTTCAAGGATTATCAACCTGGTGCTGTCGGCAATGCTGAATATATATATATATATATATATATATACAATATATATATAATATTTTTGTATTGTGTTAGGCCTTACGCACAAAATAGAAAAATATAAAGGGTAAAAATACATATTATAAATTAGTAAGAGAGAAAAGAAAGTCTTTTACTTTCTTTCTTGTTTAATAATTATTTTTATTTCTAATAATTTTTCTGTTGCGTTGAGCCCTATTAGTACCAGAGATATATACGAATTGATACGTGTCTGTTGATCACGTGTTCAACCTGTGCACGTTACCACATTCCCAGGCAGCGAGCAGCGAGCACGAGCAATTGTTTCAAGAAGTACTGTTGCTGTGTGATTGTAATACTGATATTCTTTCGCGCCTAAAGTTTTGTGAGCTGGTGTATCTTTTTGAAGAGATATCTCCTCTGAAGAGCTGAGAGAAAAGCGAAAAGCTGATATCTCCTCTGAGCTGACTTCTCCATATTGCATAATTGTGTGCATAGTTTTTTCAAGTATTAGACGAACTTTTTTAAAGTAAGTACAATCATATTAATAAAATACACATATTATAACTTTCACTCTTTTTTATTGTGTTCAGTGTTAGTCTAACCTCTAGCTTTGACTATGGATAAGTTAAGGTTCTTTAGAACTCATTAATAATAATTCTGTATTTTTTAATACACATATCAATAACATCACAGAAATTGTAATTGATAATAATATTGCTACTGATAGTTTAATATTGCCTACAAATTCATGCTGTAATAATAATGTAAATGTCAATATTCCATACAACAATGAGTTAGTAGATAGTTTAATATTGCCTATAAATTCATGTTGTAATAATGATATAAATGTCAATGTTCCAAATAATGAGTTATTTAATAATGATGTCGAAGAATTACCGAATAATATTGAGTGCAATAATAATGAAAATAATATATCGTTAACCTCAAAATTAGCTGTATGGGCTGTAAAAGATAATATAACAATATCGGCGTTAGGAAATTTACTTCCTATAATACGAGAAATACCGGGATGTAGCAATATTCCAAAAGATGCAAGAATAGTACTAAAAACACCTAGTAAAATAATTGTAACACCTTTAGGTTCCGGGACATATTTTTATTTTGGTATAGAAAAAACGATAAATTTATTTTGTATAAATCATAAAATCAACTTAGAACGAGATGAAGAGTTTTTATTAGCTGTCAATACTGATGGTTTACCGTTAAGCAAAAGTTCGAATAGTTCGTTTTGGCCTATTTTATGCTCAATCAAATCAATAAAAGTTCTTATAAACCACATATTTTTAGTTGCTTTATATCATGGTTCGGAAAAACCAAAATCTGCTAATAATTTTTTAAAGATTTTGTAAATGAATGTATTCATCTAACAACTAATGGCATATTAATAAATTCTTTTTGATACAAATTCAGAATTTTAATGTTAATTTGTGATTCTCCAGCTAAATCATTTGCTTTATTTATTAAAGGTCATACAGGCCATTTTTCATGCACAAAATGTGAAGAAGAGGGTGAAATGTTTAATCATGTATTACGGAGACAGAACGTTTTTGCAAAAGAACTGATCATACATTTAGAACTACTGCTCAACCGGAACATCATATTGGCAAAAGTATACTATTAGATATACCTAACTTTAACATGATAGATAATGTACCAATAGATTACATGCATAATCTTTTATTAGGTGGTATGAAAAGGCTCCTTTGTCATAAACGGTATGACGGATTTATGGTAAACCACCCATAAATTACGAGCTCGCGATGTAAATAAAATTTCAGAAAATCTTCTAAAATTAAAGCAATACGTTCCTTATGAGTTTTTTTTAGAAAACACGTTCTATAATTGAGTGTAAGAGATATAAAGCCACGGAATATAGATTTTTTTGCTCTATTCTGGTCCTATAGTTTTGAAAAAGGTTTTATCATCTAAAATTTATAATAATTTCATAACATTAAGTCTTGCTAGTTCTATAATGATAAGTCAATGTTATTCGAGAAATGAAGATTATGTAATATATGCTCACAGTTTGATGAAACACTTTGTCTGTCAGTCTATTCAAATTTACGGTCCGGATTTTGTATCACACAACATACATAACTTTTTGCATTTAAGCGACTGTGTAAAATTATATGGTTCACTTGACAATTTTAGCGCTTTTCCTTTTGAAAATTATATGCAACAATTAAAGAAGAAAGTTCGTAAATCAGCTCAGCCTTTACAGCAAGTTATATGTACATCGCGTGCTTGAGGAAAGTAATATTGCTCAACATAACTTTAATAATATCTAATATAATATAAGTGTTCGATATACGACCTATATGATTCACGCCGGACACCGATCGCGGTGATATCATTGTTTTCGTTCTCGTATCATCTCGGTGAAATTCGGCGTATTCCGAAAACACGGACGAGTGGGGAAATGAGCCTCGACGGTTTCCATCGATGTGTCCGTGATATACTTCTGTTACAACAGTCGCGCGAATAACAAGTAAGACCTTCACAACAACCGGCGAGCGAACGAACGAACATTGTACATCGATCTACTCGGCACCGCAACAATAAATCTCGATCTTGAGAATTAAATTTGATTGCATATGTTACGTGGATTTCCCCGTCACATCACAGTTTGGCGAGACAATACAATTAAGAGAATTACGGACATCAAAATACTCGCATCACGCATACGAGATCACATTTTCTCGTACAATAAGCGATTAATAATATAAGCGAGTAGTTTGGGCACTTATGGTAAAGTATATATAAATTGTCAGACACAGACACACACACACACACACACACACACACACACACACTATATTGTGTATTTGTGTAACAAATATATATTTTATAAATCTTTTGTATATATTTATATATGTATAGCAATTATATTACATAAGTAATAGTCATATATATATTATTTATTAAGATAATTTACTTTTTAATTAAAAATACAACTACGTATTTATTTTTCATTTTTTTAATCAAATTTTAATCGACTTATATATTTATATACTTAGTTGTTACTTTAATTTTAATTAATACTAATTTAAATAATTATTATTTTGCAGACACTTATAAAAAAGCGCATCAAAAGGCAAACAAAACCAAAAGTACAAACATTCTTACTTCTAATAATGAAGAGTTGAAAGAGAAAAGAAAACGTAATACAAAAACTAAAAAACGCAATAACAAATCTGAAAGTGAATCGTCCTTCTCTGAAATAGATAGATCATCATCAGATGATGATGCACTATATCCTGACGTTCCAAATTTTAACGAACAAATTGACTCAAACAATAGTAAGTAAAAAATATGATGTTGGTATAAGATATTATAATTATGTAATAAAATATTCATTAAGATTATATTTTGTAAAAAATATTTATAATAAAAAATAATAATATTAAAAAATACAGAAATATAAGAAAACATATAAAAAACAAATAAGAAAAATTTAAGATTTTAATTGCACTTTTTTTGATATAGCTTTAAACCAGTACTTAAAATTTGTAACAGCTATTAATGTAGAAAAGAGAATATAATTATATGTAAAAGATATATATTTAATTTATATTTTTTCTAGGAAAGAAAAATCAAATAGAAAATAACACTCATAAGTTCAAAGTTACTGTTGATACTATTTCTAATTCTGGTACTAGTACTTCTATTTCTAATATTGTTGAGTCATATCATAAAAACCCGGCTTTGGAATTAAATTCTGGTAAGAAAGATAGTTCGTATAATATATTATAATTTATTACATAAGATATACGTATATTGTAATAAAATAAATACAATTTAAAAATTTAAAAAAATGGTATATATATGTAAATAAAATATTAAAAAAAAATATTACTAAACAATAATTTATAATTAATTATTTACATTTTAGAATTGGAAAACGGATTTGTAGAAAATTACACATTCTCAGTTTGAAAATGGATGATATTTTCGAAGGTATTAATGTTCTACTAAAAAATAAAGCAGATCTAGTACAAAATGTTGTATGATGAATTCCCGAAATTATGCAATCATTTCCTGTAAATGATAATTCTTTGGCTGAATTGGAGAACTGGTTAATGACATCTGAAAATAATAAAACAATTTTGGTAAGAGAAATTAAAATATTCTTTCTACTATTGTAAATAAAGTATAAATAGTATGACAAATTATATGTATATATATATTTTAATAAGATAATTTATACTCAATTTAGTAAAAGAATATTTTAACTTGATTATATGTGTGTATAATTGTATCTTATATTATTATATTTAAATATTTTATAAAGACTACATATATATTTAATATATATATATATATATATATATATATATATATATTTTGTAGGTGGTGTCAGGATAGTTTTAGATGATGTCAGGGGGCGTAATTCTAATAAGGCTTCTAGTGGATCTTAACAAAGGATCTTTATTAGGTTAAACTGTACTCGATAGAACACGCACGACGGCTCACTGCCGTATATCTGTCCAACGGCTCTCTCTTCCGCGGGGAACTGACTTCTTCCCTTTTCTCTTCTTTCTTACGCAGCGCCGCTAGCGGTAGAGGGGGGGGGGAGTGGAAACGCAATTCGCCACTCACGCGTGTATATAAATGAATATCGGTAGAATAATAATTCGCCTACAGTCGGCCAGCCTGACATTACGACCGTCTCGGTCGTACGTATAGGAACAAAACGTATTAAGTAAATATATCCAACATATTAAGTAACGCCGGATAAAACAAACATTTCTTATGGACTAAATAAACATACTGATTAGTCATATTTATTTGGATATATATGGTCGCATCGCGTCGGCGGCAATGACGCTATTATAGGGCATTTGAGTGACTTGAAATCCCTCGACATCGGTTATTACATAACGGTCAGAACCTAGCACTCGCTTTACAACGTAAGGCCCTTTATACTTTGGTATGAGTTTTTTATTGGTACCGACAGAAGTGTCCACATTACGGATCATTACGTAGTCGCCCTCTTTATATTGTTTCGCTTCTTTGTGTTTCTTGTTATAATAGCGTTCGTTTTCTTTCTGACTCTTCTGAATTTTTTCAGAGGCAGCTTCTCTTAATAACACTAGATCTCGACTAGTATCAGTATCTAAAACTAGTTTAAGTTTATCGTTAACTTTACCGAGTTGTTCTACGCCAAATAATAGTTACTGGGGGTTTCCCCGTTGATCGACAAATCGTATTATTAAATGCATATTCTATTTGATCAAAACTTGATCCCATTTGTGTGGTTCGTCACATAACTTCGCAATCATCGGAGTAATGTCGTGGTTGAACCGTTCTATTTGACCATTTGCACGCGGAGTACCAACAGCTACGAGGATATGCTGAGTAGACTCATTATTTATAAATTCAGTAAATTTATCTGATGTAAAGGCTGTTCCGCGATCGCTCACAATGCGTCGAGACTTACTATAAGTTCGATAATAATTTCGCAAATGATTAATTGTCTCATTCGAGGCCGTAGATTTGCACGGATATACTTTCAAAAACTTTGTAAAAGCATCTACTACTGCTAAAATATATTTGTATCCGCGACCGGTTTTTTCAAAGGGACCACAATGGTCGACATGGATCGTTCGAAAGGGTAAGTTCTCTTTCGGTATACTGTGTAACTTGCCTTCTTTCTTTCCACTAGAAGGGGAAAACTCTATACAACGCAGACAATTAGAAATATAGCACTTTACTTTCTCTCTCATTTGTGGGAACCAGTAAATTTGCCTAATGTTAGCAATAACTTTATCGAGGCCGACATGGCCAATGTCATCGTGACACGTACGGATTACATTACTTTCCATTGATATCGGTACATAAAATAAGAGTTTTTACCCTTATCTTTACGGTAAACAAGACCGTCTCGCAATTCAAAGAATTTATCCTCAGATTTTTCTAATTTATTTCGAATGTTACTATATTTACATCCCGATCTTGTTGAATAGATAAAGTTCGGTCGAACGAATTTGCTTCTAATGTCAGAATGCTATGACATCGACTCAACGCGTCGACATGATTCATCTGTGTACCGGGTCGATGTACGATTTGATAACAGTATTGCTCTAAAAATAATGCCCAACGATATATTCGCGGATTAACTGTCTGTTTACTTAAAGTAAGGCGAAAACTGTCGCAGTCTGTTATTATCTTAAAAGGGATACCGGCGAGATAGATATGAAACCGTTTAATCGCATAAATCACAGCGAGACACTCCAGCTCAAAACTGTGATACTTGGATTCGACAACTGTTGTCCGTTACTAAAATAAAATACAGGCCGGAAAATACCATCCTTTTGTCGCTGTAAAAGTATCGCGCCGAAACCACTTGTACTCGCATCGCAGTGCAATTCTGTTTCAAGTGTCGGGGAATAAATCGATAGTATCGGTTGAGAAGATAACAACTGTTTCAATTTTTCGAAGGCCTTGATCTCCTCTGAACCAAATTTAAACACGGCATTTTTCTTGACTAAGTCATATAACGGTTTAGCGACTATTGAAAATTTCGGGATGAAACGACGGAAGTAACTAGCTAAACAAACAAATCGATGCGTCTCTTTTATGTTTCGCGGGATTGGGTAATTAGTTACGGCTTCAACATGTTGCTCACTCGGGCGAATACCATTTTCATTAATTAAATACCCAAGATATACAATTTCCGTTCGAACAAAGAAACATTTATCGAGTCTAAACTGCAACCGGTATCGTCGCGCTATTTCAAATACATCTTTCAAAATATTTAGGTGTTCCTCTATACTTTCAGTCGCTATCAAAATATCATCTAGATATAACAAGATATTACTCTCTCGGATGAGTTTATCAAAGACTTTGTTGACGAATCTCTGGAACACTCGTGGAGCATTAGTCAACCCGAACGGCATTCGTAGGAATTCAAATTGTCCGATAGGCGTCACAAACGAGGTGTATTTTACCGAACACTCAGACATCTTAATATGATAAAATCCGTTCCTTAAGTCGAGACTACTAAAATATTTTTTCCTTTTAACCGATCAATATGATCATCTATCAACGGTGTGGGAAAATTGTCTTTTACAGTAATCTTATTTATTTCACGGAAGTCGACACACAGTCGTGACTCGCCATTTTTCTTCCGCACGAGAACGATTGGGCTAGCGTAGGGTGAATTACTCTGCCTAATTGTACCTGTTTTCAATAAGTCGTCTAATATTACTTGCAACTTTTCTTTATCGGCATACGTTAAACGCCTAGGCCGGAAGGTAATCGGCTGTTCATTTTTAATAAAATTTTCATCTCGGTTTCCGGTTCGCTCGCATCCGAATCCCATTTATCAACGTATTCTTTGTTATACAATCTTCGAACGCTTTCGACTACATGCGATTCGACACCGGGATTAATATTCAATTCTTCTCCAACTTTTACAGGATTTTCGAGATATTCTATTTGCATAATCTCGGTATCAAAATTGTTCTCGCTTGTCGACTCGTTTCTCCTAGTAATCTTTACCGTTTTACCTAGTTCGATTTTTTATAACGGATCTCGACAAAAATCGCGACCAAGTAATGCCGCACACGACATTGTTTCGTTCGGTACTACCAGAAAACGTAGCTGAATATTAATTCTTTCGATTTCGACTAATTTCGAAAAGGTGCCTACTACGCAAACAGGGGATTTATTTACTCCACAGAAACAATCGCCGTTAGGAGGTAGCGGTTCGCGCAAACTCGTCGGAACATACTCAGTTTTTATGAGGCTCACTGGGGAGCCGGGATCAACTATCGCGTCTACTGTATATTCACGATCCATATCCCCTTCAAAGGACACCGAAAACTTTAACTGTACACAATACGGATCGCTAACGGTTATCGGTTCGATCAAGTTCACAACGTTCGCCGACTCGGGTTTCGACTCTTTCTCGGGACAGTCTTTTTTCAAGTGGCTGGCTGAACCACATCGATGACAGCCTCCCTTAACTTCTTCGGGTGTGAACATGCGGATGCCAGATGTCCAACTCCCTGGCAGTTATAACATTTAATTATCTTTCGGCGTGGTGTCAAATCTGCACTCGACGATGCTGGATTTCCTTTAAACGCTGAACTCTCCTTCATCGACAATTTCCCATCCTTTTGGATTTTCCTTGATCACTAGGTTTCTTCCATTCGCGATCAGGGAACTTCTCGGGTGTAGCGTCAATCCTTTAAATGCCTCCAACAAATCCGACTGAGACTCGAACTGCATAATACGTGCTTGATCTCTGAATTGCGATCAGGTATACCCTCGATGACATAATCGACAACTTCGTCATCTACTATCGGTACCCTATTAGCGAGGATTATTTTATCATGGAAGTAACTCGTGAATGATTCATCCGTCCGCCATGCTCTCTCTTCGAACTTCTTGCGTAGGGACAATCTTGATTGACGAAGGTCGAACATTCCCTTCATGGCCGCCAATAGATTTTCTATACCAAGGGTAAGATGATGTGGTTTGGAGTGAAACCACTCGGATGCACGTCCTTTTAATTTAGAGCTTATTAAAATTCTTGTCGCAGCATCATCCAAGGCGTACGACACTCGCAGCAATTGTACCTGCTGTTCCCATTTCCAGAACGTACCCTCACTGCCGTCGAATTCGCTCAACAAGTCGCGAATAGCCCTTACACTTTCGCTCATCGGTGGACCATTACGTCTTCTTCCGCCATCATTCATCTGCGGTGCTC